ATCAAACTTAACTTGAAGCAAGCTAATTGGAGGTATTGATTCGCTACAAGGCGCTAATTATATAAATTTCTAATATAGCGTATGGGAGGAGTATTTGAAAAAAAAATCTATTTTTTTTAAATTGTTTTTTTTTTATTGAAACATGACTTACATTACATCCTTCATTTTAAAGAGACAATTGAAATATTTGGAACCTGGTACAAGCAGTCTTGTTGTTCCGACTTTTGAACAAATTGACCCAATATTCTTGCTCTGGGTCAATTTTTTTTTCTTCAGACCAATTTTGATGTTTGAACTTGCGAGTTTGACAGTTTTTTATCACCTAAAAATTACAGTTGTTCAGTTCAAAATGAATTGACGCAAGCAATTCATTCCTGTTTTTGCGTTACCAGAAAAGGCCTTATATTTTGCCTAACTTAACACTGGAAGTCACCTAACAATGAAATCATAAAGTTTTCGAATTATGTCCCATTATTTTATTAAATTTTTCTGCTTAAAATAGCTGTCAAATTATTCAGGGCTTTGCATTGATACAAGCAGTTTTGTTTTATTACACTTGCGAGATCAGGAACTAGACTTTTTGCCTTCAACAATTCTCCTTAAAAGTCATTAATTTGATTTATTATGGTAACTTAACAAATTCTAGGTTCCTTCTTACTTGGCCGAGATGTGGAAACCGTCGCTTTTGCACTCTAAAGTCTGGAATTTGAGTTCCGGTCAGGCCTTGATTTTTTCAGCTGATATTGATTTGTCGGATTTCCTTTTCTCTGCGAAGTATTGTCGGCTTAAATGTCAAATCAGGGATTTTGTTTTATTTATAAGCAAAATTCATTGTAGTTGCAAGTGAAAGTTTTGGTTATCGTAGTTCCAGAGGGACTTGAGAATTTAAATTTTTTAAATTTAAATTAGGTTCTTTTCTCAACTGGTTTCTGCTCAAAAATCAACTGCCTAGTTGCCACATCTTGGATTTTTCTTGAGCTGTAAGCTAATTTCATTGCAAATGCAAATGATTGTGCTATTCTATCTGGTGTCAAGAAGGAACTAAAGCTTTATCGGCATGATCTGTTCATAGTAGTTCCAGAGGGATTTGATAGTTTATATTCTTAAAATATAAATTAGTTTTTTTTCTTCTCAACTAGTGTCCGCTCAAATATCATCGGCCTAGTTGCCGCATCGCGAATTTTTCTTGTGCTGTAAGCAGTAGGCAAATTTTATTGTGGATGCAAAAGAAAGTGTTGTTCATTGTGGTGTCAAGATGGAATTAAAGCTTCATAGATCTTAAAAAAATCCTTTTTCTTCGGCTCAACATATAAAGCAAATTATATATAAATTAAATGAACTTTAATTTAATAAAATTTTCACAAAGTTAAAACTTAAAAAACGTTTACTAAAAATTTTTTTAAACTTTTTTCGGCTCCTTTTTGTCTGGTGAAAAATTTTCGCTTTTGTTTCCTCTTTGAGTTTTTCCATTGCTGGTTTGCCTAGAACAAAATTCTATCAAGATCTACAAAAACATTGCTATTTTTTTAAATGTCTGGATGTCTGGCTGGTTTGCCTAGAACGAAATCTATCAAGATCTACAAAAACAAAATGTTGACAGACCCGGTTTTCTCAATATTTGTCGTTTTTTCCGACTTTTTTGATTTTATGTTTGAGCTGTATCGCAAGAGGTGCGAACCTCCGCTTCGCTTTTGTGTATTGAGTGTACCTAAACTCCTGAAATAAAAAAATTTTGAAATGTTTAGTCGCAATAGTACAGCTCTTCACTGCAAACAAACTAAATGTTCAATCAGCAAAAATCTTGCCTGCCACAAAACTCATCAAATTATTGAACTAAAAATGCGCATTTTAATCATATTTCTAAAAAGTATAATCATTTGGCCAATCGCGCAACTAGATTGAACAAACAAATGTTAACTCATGCCAAACAGGAAAGAAAGTAGAAAACGATTAAAGAGCAAATTTCTACGAGATAAGCCGATTTCTGTATAAATTAGAAAAATACGCTGACCAGCGTTGAGATTGAAATTCAGCCTCAAACAACGGCTTAAATAAGGTACAGTTAACGTTGCATCACACATGGAATGACACTCAGTGCTCACTATTAACATTTTTCAAATAGAATTAGTGAGATGAAACTGTTTCTGAAAAGTGTTTATAGCAAACACGAAACAGATAGAATGTCATTCACTCCATCTTTTCAAAGGCTATTTTTGCGACCAGTTACAAATGAAACAAACCTGCTCGTATTAGGGCAAAAATCCTGCATGTTCCGACTGCCTTTTAGCGTCTATGGAGCAAAAACCAACATAAAAAATTTAAATGCAACAAAAATAAATAGAAAAATAAAATATTAAAGTTTGAGTTTTTTTCGAAAATCATCCACCCACACGCCATATGAAGGACAAAGTGAAAAATTTAGCTTCTTAAAAATCAAGTATGGCAAATCAGCTTCCTTCAACCAATTTGGAACGATTACTAAGTCGGATTAAGTCTCCACTTACGCGTTAATAGCGCGAAATATATCGCGCGTTAATTGTCCCAAGTTGACCAAAATGGCAATCTTTAAACCCTCGCAACTTTACGAAAAATTATCACAGGTTAAACAATTTTTTAAAAATAAAGCTCAAGAAAACAATGCCTTTTGAATGATGCAAAAAAAAAAATCCGTCAAAAAGGCTAGTTGAAAAGTCAAAAATTGTCTGAAGAAAAAAAACCCACCCCGAGCACAAATATTCCGTTACTTTCGCTACCAAAGTCGGAACAACAAGACTGCTCGTATCAGGGCCAAGCCCCGATTGTTCCGAGTGTCTTTAAGGTTTATTGAGCAGTAATAACATATGTAACATTAAAAAATTAAATGTAAAATGTAATAAAATAAAAGGGAAAAAAAATTCTAAAATTTGATTTTTTTTCTTTGAAAATCATTCGCCCACAATCCATTTAAAGTACAAATCAATAGATGTATCTCCTTGTAATAAATCAATTATGGCAAATAAGCTTCTTTCAACCTTAAAAGAAGTTAAAAGAGTTAAAAAGTCGAAATTTGTCTGAAGAAAAAAAAACCCACCCCGAGCACAAATGTTCCGTTACTTTCGTATCAAAAGTCGGAACAACAAAATTGTTCCTATCAGTGCAAACTTCTAAGGGTTTTGCGTTTCATTTGAAAACATTGATAACATTGTGACATCAATATACTGAAAAGAAATAATACGGTAAAAGTTGCAAGCCACAACAAAGAATATTCTGATTTTTCAGAATCTTTTCTGAACCTACAATAAGACAAACAGTTTCAAAGCGCATATAATTAAACGTGCAAACAAAGCCAGCAAAGCTAATGTAAAGCACAAAGGAAAACGTTTTTAATTTTGAAACTGGGTAAAGACACTTTACCATTGGATTTTTTAAAAAGAATCAATTGACACTTCGTCAAAATTGAGAACAATCAGTTTGCTGGTTTGTTGTGATAAATTGCACCACAAATCATGGTACCTCATCGAGTAACTACATAAAACTGTTTGCAAAAAGTAAGTTTTGACAGTTTTCAAATCTTATTTCAAAATAAAATTTAAAAAATTTAATCGTTTCACTCTGTCGTACTAATTTATCCAGGGGCGGATTTAGGGGGGGGGGGGATGCCTCCCTCCCTCAGGGATTCGACTCACTGCCGACCCAAAGGGTCCCGCTTTTGCAATATTTTGTGATATCCTTATTTGGCAACGGACCCTAAAAACTTTCTAGAGGCACCTTTGGCGCGAATATATACTTATTTTGAGGGGTGAGCTCTAGCTGAAAAAGCGCCATTTGACGGTCAACATTTTCCAATTATAGGCCAAAAACGCCAAACCAAAACAGAGTCTAAAGAGGCTAACGACCCTGGCCTAAGGTTAAAGAGGCTAAATAGGCCAAAGCAAAACTGGGTCTGTGGGTCTGTTTAGTCCTTTGGGAGAGTTTGGAAAATCAGTTTGGTCGTCGATCTAAAAAAAAGTTCGACAAAATTTTCAAATTTTTTAACATATTTTTGAAAATCCGCACCCCCGGTTGTTTTATTCAGTCACTTTTCGGTGATGTAAAATGTCAAATGTGAAATTTATATTTTATCTCAATTATTTTTTTCAAAGTTGTGGGAGCTTGAAAACTGCCAACTTGGCCTTGTTGTGGACCAAAATATGCGCTATTTGAAGAATTTATTCACAATTCTGAGAGCATAGCGCGAGTAATTATGCATGGCAAAAAAATTCTGCAGAACAAAATCGTTCCACATTGAATTGAGGCTAGCTAATCGGTCGTAATAATTTCGTACGAATCAATTTTTCCCACTTGATCTTTGATATTGTGCAAAATTTTTCAATATTTTATTTTCACAAAAACTATTCGATATGGATTAAGGGGCAGTCTGGACATTCAGGGCTTTGCACTGATGTACGAGCAGTCTTACCTATTACGCATTACTAGACGCTAGGAAGATCATTTTACGCTTGGCTCCGAAATTTTTTTTTTTTTGAAAATTTCTTCAATTGAATTTTAGAAGATATGTTTCAAAACGTTGAAGCGCAACCCTGATTCAAAACTTTGCCTTGATTTGAGCATTCTTGTTACATTTGTAATATAACTCAGAGTAAGTCGTTTAAATTGATGATAATCTAAATTTTTAAACCTTCCTCTACAACAACCTAAACTTGCTAACAATTGAATAGAAGTAATAATATTCACAGTTTCACCTCACTGGGAGAGACTAGTTACGCTTAGAAGGGGACGCAGTGTAGGTCCTTAATTGATGGAAAGAATGAGAATCTATCAACTTCATGAGTTTGCAATGACCAACAGATTCAAACAAGTTCAACAGTTTCAAGTTCATTAAAGACTACTCTGAGTTTTGCCCTGATATAGGCAGTACTGCTCATCTGTTGAGGCTTGCTGTTTTAACGAGGTTTGTTGTGGTAAAGTTCTACTCTTGAATTTTTTCTCGATAAAATCTTCTCTTAAACCTCAAATTTAACAAAATTTTGAAAAGTTAAATTCTTATTGGCATTACTAATTTACAATTCTTTCCTCTCAGTTTTTTCTCACTGAATTTACTTTTTACTTTTCTAGGCTTTATCAGAACACTACATGCAGTGGTAGGAACAGACACAATACATGCTGTGAGTCGGCGTCCTTGTTCTCGATTTTTTCTCCGTTGTTGTCATCATCTCTCTTCACGTTGCTTCTCTTCATGAGTTCAATGGTGATGTCCAGTCTAATCTCTTTGAACCCAAACGCCTGAAGAAAAAATGCACATCATAATCCATATGGCAAGACTTTTTAACATGCACTGCCAAGTTAACCATCAGTGTCTAAATTAGTTCTTGTTCTTAAAATGAGTAGATTCATCTGAAATTTTTTTTCATGGGTGTGCAGATAATTAACTAAAAGATTTAGGAGTCTTTTGATTAACAAGCAAAACTCGGACCCAAAGCGCATCTCTCTCGCATAAGTGATTAAAGAAAAGAGTCAGGAAAAAAAAGAGAGTAAATACAACGTTGTTCTACCATCTCCTTGTAGGTCGAAATGTCGAAGGCCTCTGGAAGACTAAGTGGGAAACAGTCATTTAGACTCTTCAACTGTTCTTGCAAGAAGTCGGCTGAGCACGCATTCGGTTCACTGGTATTGTACCCATCGAATACATCCAAATTGTCAGTAGAGTTGTTCACAGCTCCATCCAGGATGTCTCTCAGTCCCTCTCCGGGTGATAAGAGTTCACAGATGTCGTATATGCCACTGGAAACAACATTAATATAGTTGAGGGTCATGCTTATGTTTGCTGCGCATCTACAGCATGTCAAATTGTGTTTGTTAGGTGAAGCGATACTTCCTTCTGGTTAATGAATTTGTTATTGACCCAAAAAAATGAGAAGGTCGAAATCCGTGTGATTATTTTTAAGTTGAACAAGACAAGCAAACACAAGCAAAAGCTGCCAATCTTTATAAAACAAGACAAGCAAACACAAGCAAAAGCTGCCAATCTTTATAAAATTTACCCTTTATTCTAATCGAAACTTTTAAAATTCAAGATGTTTTTCAATTAAAATTGCCAATTGCAGCAAATTGACACCAAATATCAAAAAAAATTGTAATTTTCCACTTAAAATCAGCTAAAAAAAATTCAAATCTGACCATGTCTTGTAGTCAAATTTTTCCATTAGCTTTTTGATCCATGGGTGAGTTTTAACATCTACTGCATTAACTTCGTCCTCCTCCTTCCCTTCGGCCATATCCCCATCCTCTGCTGCTTCTTTCTTGGGGAAAAATTGATTCTCTAACATTGCGTACACAGTCCCACAGGGCACCGGGAAGGTCAACCCGAGTTGTTTGACCTCTACTCTTAGGTCGACTTTGAGGTCAAGTGTATCTGTGGGTTTCACGAACCCGATCGGTATCTTAGCCGACCCCTCAATGCACACGTGACCGAAGTTGTCGCTGTAGATGATGTTCTGCTCATTGCCCACCGTCAACTTATCCAGCTTCAGGTGCACTAAATTTGGTGATCATTGATTTGACTTCAGCAAAAAACTTAAAGCAAAATAGGCCATGCTTAAAACTGGCGGTGCTAAACTCATGTTCGTCATCGAACCAGGAGTCAGTAATTTTAACACGAATTAAAAAACCAATGAATTATTACAGGGGCGGATCTAGGATTTTCTCGAGGGGGGGGGCGGTGGGGGTCGGTGGATTTTCAAAAAAATTTCGAGCATTTTTCGACCTTTTTTAGGCCAATTAAATTGATTTGTCGAGCTCTCCCAAAGCACTAAAAAGACCCTATTTTGGCCACATTTTCTAAGCCGCAGGCAAAATTTTGAAAAACAGGCCAAAAAAAGCGTTTTTAGGCACATTTTTTTGAAAATTTTGACCAAAAAAATTGCGTTTTTTGGCGCGCGCTCCCCATTGTATATATTGTCGCCAAAGGCGCCTTTAGAAAAGTTTCAACCAAAAATGCCCGTCAGCCAAAAATGGATATCTCAAAAATGTACAAAGGGGGACCCTTTGGGTCGGCAGATGGTCGAAACCCTGAGGAAGGGGGTGTCCCCCCTTCCCCCTAAATCCACCCCTATATTGTTAAGATGTTCTATACCGATGGTTGTCCTAAATGTTCACTGAAGTCTTTGTTATTAAGCTTTGATATCAGAGATATAGAAAAAAGTAAGAACATACGATCATCTGGTGGCAAACATGCCGGACAATGTTGAGTATGAGTGAAGTTTCTGATGTCTCCGCTGCACTTATTTTTAGCCCAGCAAACACCCAAAACAGAGGTGAACACCAGAACTTCTATCACGATCTTCATTTTCGGAATAAATTGAATGGACTTAAGTTAATAAAAGTTCAAAGAATTATTTTCATTTAAGATTGGTTTTGCTTCAATGTAGAAACAAGATAAGAAATTGGGTCACGCAAATACGTCAGTTGAGTTAAGACGACACGCTTCAGATCCTGTGATACATCTTTGACCAAACTGAAGCAGCAATGACCTTGCGTTATCCGAAGAACCATTGATAAACCTTAATCGGAAAAAGGGGGAATAATAGAACAAAAACCATTATTACTTCAGTGAAAATTATTTAAAAATATGAAATAATAATTTTAGTAGAAAAATATGGGGGCTAGCAAATTAGACGAAAAGCAAATTAGTCGGCTCCAACACAACGAGATTTAGACTTTAACTTTGTTTTGCAAAACTAGCATTTTAGACGGAAAGCAAAGGGCTAACAAATTAATTATTTAAAACAAAACTTTACAAAGACTATTCACAAAGACTTCACAGTATATCAAAATGTTTAATATAAATCATTTATAAAAATATTAATGTGAATATTATAAAATGTTTTTGAATTGCATAACTTATGCAATGAGCTTGATGTGAAACTTTGATTTGCATTTTAGCAAGCTCTATCGAAAGTTAATTGTAGTCAGTAAACAATTTTCAGACACGAAGTATACAATTACGTCTGCCCGCATCGAGCGCCCATGGATCATATCATAATTGATTATTTTGTCATAATATGACCAGTATCTATTAAATTACGAAATAATCGATTGTGGTCATCAAAAATGGATTATAATCCTATTATTTTTTATGTCAATATAATCAATTATAGTTGATCAAAAACCATTAAAAATGGATTATAATCCTAATATTTTTATGCCACTATAATCCATTATAATCGATTACAATTGGGTATAATGGATTTTTTCGAGAGGTTTTTTATTAAGTTTACAAATTTTTTCAATTTTACCTCATTTCCTGTTTAGTGCAGTTGCTACGTATTACGTTTTATAAAATGTTACGTTTCACATTAAAATTTATATTTTTTGTCTCTATTTTTTTTCATTTCATCTCAGTTTAACACTTCTTTTTTTTCGCAGAGTAGGGGGATATGGTTTGAATGATGTTAGGGTGCGAGTTATTTAATGGTAGAATTTGGGAGTTGACTGGTGATTGAAACCACCCCCCCCCCCCCCCAATTTACCCCTTCTTTAGTTAGGGGAGGTAAAAAAACTTGAGAGGGTGACGCTTTGACATGGAATACATTCTGCGAATTCCCAGCGAAATTTGCAATTTTTCTGCAAAAATAATCGAATTTAATTCAAAAAACAATGTTTTATAATGGATTTTAATGGATTTTTTTTTCAAAATTTTTTCGATTATAATGAAATAACTTGACAAAACTAATCGATTTTATTGCCAAAAATAATGGTTTATAATGGGTTGTTTTTCTCCAAAAATAACTTATTATAATAGCAATATAATCGATTTCGTGGTCTGAATTTTACATCTTTAATATTCTATAATGGATTATGTTTGTCTCGGGAACCCATTACAATCGATTAGAATGTATGGGCGCTCGGTTCGGGTAATTACCTATAAATGCAGTTTTAAACTCTTTTTTCTGGTCACGTCTAATTTTCTTGTCGTCTAATTTCATAGGCCCCGAAAAATATTGGCCACCTTCGAAGTTTAGTGGAATCAAGCACCGCCTCAAAATGAAAGCTAGTTCTGATCTGCCTATGTTGTTTTAAATTCAGAAACGGATTTAGGGGGAGAAGTCTTTTTTTCCCCAAGAATTGAACCTCGTTTTTATAATAACAGAAATCATTTCAATTATCAATTGGTGTTTGTGAAGCAAATTCTACTTATCATTTTTTTTGTAAAATCATTTCAAAACAAATAGCCAAGCAACTCATTCGGGTGAAACATAAGCTCGCTGGATTTTTTTATGGCCATACTTTATTTCTAAATTAAAGTGAATATAGATGTTTATTAAAAGTGGGTCAATTTCCTGAAGATTTTTTTTCTTCAAAATTGTAAATCTAGGTAATGATGTTTTCGAAGCTTTTCTGAGAAGTCCTCATGAGTTTTCCCAAAACCTCGAAATTGCTATCAAATAGAGAAGATGATAATGGCAAATGGATTTTCAAAAAATTAGTACCCAGTCCAGTTTCAAGCGTTAATAATCGAGTATATTACGATTTTAGTACCAGTCTTACTAAAATTGAGAAACAATCGATTTTAATCAATTAATAATCGATCATAATCTCTCTTTTTAAAATCAAATTTCAATTAACTATAATCCATTATAATCGATTATTTATTCGTCTATTTTTCGATACAATTATAATCGATTATATTTGATTATGATCCATTATTTTTATTCAAATTTCTAGTTCATTAGTTTTGCCCAAAAATCCATTTTAATCGATTCTAATTGATTATAACCCCTTTTGTTTGTCCATTTTGTCTTCAAAGTTGCATCTAAATTGCTTATATTTTCTGCTTTTTGAAGACGTTGGTTCCTAAGAAAAATGAGAAAAATACTTTTAAAGTTTTCCTAATAATTCAATTTTATAAGTTTTTGTTTCGTTTCTTCCCCATTAGAGTTGTTTTTTGATGCATATTTTGAGATTTTTTAAACACCAAAACATCAACAAACTGATTTAGTTTCATCTACCGCGGGAATCTTTCCATTCATATGAAAGGATCTCTATGAAACTTTTGTTTCGTGGTAAAACTTTGTGTTCAGATGAAGAGTGTTCAAAGTGTTCAAGAGATCTCTTTTTTAGAGATTTGCTTATTTACACAAAAATAATAACCCATAAGATATAATTCGAATACAGTTTTGAATTGACAAAATATCGGCAAAAAAAGAAATTATAATCGATTATAATTGATTTTAAGGGTTTTTTGTAAGAACTACAATCAATTATAATCGATTATCAGAGATTATAATCTCTTGGAAAATATCACGATTATAATCAATTATAAATCCTTTAAACACCTAATTTTGGCAACTATAATCAATTATAATTGGCAAAAAATCATAATAATCCGTTAAAATTGATTACTCACGCCTAAACTTGGATGCGGGTAGCCTCAAAAACTTTTTTTATCGAATTGCTTCTTCTTGATTTGAAATATCCACAGATTTGAAATTTGTTCGAGAACTTGAATACTGTTACCAAAACTGGCAAGGGATTATTTATAGTAAGTATAGGGTCAAGTGAAGCTTGCAACTTTATGTAGGATCAGCCACAATTACCCATCCTTACAACGTTGACCCTAGTGTCTTGGTATTCCAAAATAAACTTTTCGAATAAAAAGAAAAACCGACTGCGAATGGAATAACAATCTGGTTTAGTTTTTGATCGTATTGGGCACATAAAAGCTTTCTGCAAGTCATTTTGCCAATTTGCTAAAGATGCTACTACCTAAGCTCATAAAAAAACACACGAGTTATGCGCCTATGCAACCGGTTTTGTTCCAGTTTTCTGTATTTGTTCACATTATAGTTGCTGACTCTACAAACTGTGAGATATGACTAGAGTATCCCTATAATATGTTGAACTGGATCGAAGCATTTATTAGATAGAACACACCAACTGAGTGCATATGCACAGAACACCAGTGAAAAAATAGCCAGTCAATTACTTTTACCAATTGCGATTCCATATAATCGATTGCCATGGCAAATTTGGACAACGTCAGGGGCGGATTTAGGGGGGGGGGGGGGGGGGGGGGGAGGGGAATTTGGCCAAAAAAGCGTCTTTTTAACACTCTAGTAGAGCTCGGAAACTCTATTTGGTCGACCTAAAAGAAAGGTCGTCAAAATTTTCGAAAATTTTTTGAAAATCCGCCCCCCCCCCCCCCCTCGAGAAAATCCTAGATCCGCCCCTCATACCACGAAAATCACATACCCGCCCCACGTAACACCCCCCTCCCCCCACGTAACGCCCCCACCCCCATGTACCCCTCACCTCACCTCACGTACCCTCCATCCCACACCCAACCTTAAGCCCCCCCCCCCCCCCCCCCCAGGGGGGAGGGGTTGGTGTGGGATGTATAGGCAATTTCTTGTAAATTTTCATAAACGCGATTGAAAAAAAAAAAGAAAAAATGAATTTCAGCGAAAGAACAAAATAACTTACTTAAGTTTAACAATATTATGAAAAAATGAAAGCTAAACACAAAAAGATTTAAGTAAATCGATTAAAATCCTCTATATTTGATTAAAAAAGATTGTTTTTCTTTTGCTAAAATTTTTTGAAAATAATCGAGTATAATCGATTATAATCGATTATATGAAGTTTTTATTGCTTAAAATTATTATCATTATAATCCATTTTCAGTCGATTATAATCGATTATTTTTGTTATTTTACAGAGACTGACAATGAAAATCCAGTGTAATCGATTATTATCTATGAAACTTCGGAGAGGGAATATTATTGTCTTGAATATTGTCTGATTATAATTGTTCATAAACTTTTATAATTGTTCATAAACCTTTTTTCTATAAAATAGCAATCTCGAATTCTAAGAACAAAGCAATTTGAGCGATATCGTGAATCGACATATTTTCAAATTATTTCGAAGTTTTAAAAAAAGTTCTACATTTTAAGCAATATAATTGGTAATTTTTATGTAATACCTTTAGCCATATAAAGAACAAGAGAGTGTTTTGCGTCCTCTTTGAGATAAAACTTTATAAAAGTTGTTCATCAACCGTACTAATATATTCAAACAAGTGTATTTCAGTTAAAATGTAGGTAGTAATTTTTTTTGCGTTTACGTTTTTTTTTTTAAATTGTTTCAGTTTAGATTGGTTTGAGCAACAACATTTCAAAAAGTTTTTACTGATGTTTCAGCGCAATGATAAGTAGATACAAGCTACTTTTAAGTTTAATCAAACTCTCGCTAAGAAATGTTTTCTTAGTTCATTGAAAAGGGACCACATTTTTTAACAATTATATGTTTTCAGTTGTTTTACTTTTTTCTTTTTTTTCATATGCTAAGTCAGGTAGCCCAAATGATTACTCGTAAGAGCTCATACTAATACGCTAAGTCCAATTCAACCACGACTCGATTGAAATTTTGAAATGATCAAACAAAATTTCCGATATTTGAGAAATTTTTATTTGAGAAAATGGAATTTGATTATTTTTGAGTAAGTAAAAATATTGGGTCACCGATCGCAACAAAAGAATAGGTTTTCAGGCTAAAAAAGTAAATTTAATTGAGAATGAAACTAGTTTCAGAAAAATCATTAGCGCATTGTTATCTAATCAAAAGTTTCGAAATGGAGTGACAAATTGATGTAAAAAGCACAGTCTGATGATGTCAAGATATTTAACAGATAGTGCACTCACTACTCAATCGATTTCAATAAATAATACTTAAAAAAATTTATTCAACTTGAAAAAATATAAAAGAAAACAAAATTTATGTGTTTTGCGATCAGTCTGTCGCAATTTAAAAGTCAAACTGGTTTCTAAAGAAAGAGCTTTCCCTGTTTTACGCAGCACAAAACAGACAAAACTTGAAGGCAGTATCTTTCTCTCAACAGGTTGAATATTGCACCCACCGAGTTTTGGTTTATCTATCTGCCTTCGGAATGCCCGAGCTAGATCTACTAAGACTCTGAAGGCAACCGCTCCTCCAAAACAAAATCAGTTTCTGATTGCAATTCAAATTAATATAGTGTCGAATTCAGACACTAAAGAGTCTCCGGGCTTAGACCTGTACTGTTTTTTTTTTCGTTTCAGCTCAAAGGCAAGTCCAGTGCAGTCACTGGTTTCGTGTCTTGTTCAGTCTGCCCACTCGTCCTAAAATCCTAATTCTATCCACTTAATGTCTTGCTTTCGTTTACGTAGGTATTACAATCCCTACGTCTGCGTTCGTAAAAGAAAAACAAAAGTTTTTACACCCCTCCGCATCGGCGTTCAGGGACCTTTCCAAATTGGCAAAAACAGGATCCCTCCGAATTGGCAAAATTATGACCCTTCTGGATTGGCAAAAACGATACCACTCCAAGATGGCAAAAACGGGACCCCTCCGGATTGACACCCTTCCGAGTTGGCAAAACAGGACCCCTCCGGATTGGCAAAAATTAATCCTTCCTGATTGGCAAAAACGAGACCTCTCCGGATTGGGACCCTTCCGAGCTGGCAGAAATTTCAACCAAGACCCTTCCAGATACGGCCTTAGAGCCTTTTATGGAAAATCTTCTAACTAGAACAGGTTCATTCTGACTTCGGAACCCTCAAACTTAGAGGTTCAATCAAAAAAATTTCAAACTCCCCACTCAAAATTTCAAATTTATAGGTTCCGCCTAAATTTTTCCGTGATTTTTGTTCTATTGACCTAAAAATTATCAATCTGAGCTCTTAAAGGCAAAAAAATATCTTAAATTGATCAGAAACGTTTCAGCTGGAAAAATTTGCCAAAAACAATGCAGTTTGGATCTCTCGGGATTGATGAGCCCACTAAACCAAACTCGTTAGGATCGATTTCACTGAGGCCAGGAATGTTGTTGACAAACAGGCTGTAAAACTTGTGGATTCACTAGTGTACTTTGTCCGAACAACAATCTTTATCATACTAACTCAAAAAATAAAAAAATAATAATCTGCGTTGTTTCGTTTTTCCAAAAACTACGAAAAAATGGATTTCGGTATCCAATTGGTCTTAGCAAAGTCCGCTCTGAATTCAACCTGTTCTCTAGTTATAATAGTCAACTTTCGATGTAACTCACTAACTTAGTGCTTTTTTATCTTCTTAAAAAATATGGTTACCTCAAAAAAAAGTCGCTTGTGGGGAAATCAAAATAGCACTAGTTTGGCCAAAAAAAGGTCTGTTTACGGTGTATTTGACTAGAAAACGGTATCGGATTTTTAAAACGGTAGTATAATTGTTAGTACTAAAACTTTCATACCCCTCTTGGTCCGTTCAATATCAGAATTAGGTGCTTAACTCGGAAATTTGCTGTTCAATAAGGTTCACAACAATGCAGTCACTTTCGAGCCCTCCACAGATTGATATCGTAATTTCTGTATCAGATAACATTCAAAACTTAGGAGCCATACCCAGAAGTTGATGTTCTTGTCCTTGAGACCCTTTTTGCTGCTCCTTGCACTGCTTGTCGGATCAGTCTTCTACTCCAATCACTTGATCCTTCCTGATTGAACGCAAATTAGCGTTAACGTTCTGTAATTTTCAAACATCCCTACAGTACAGGCACAACAAAAAAGGCTACAGGTTGATAATTACGATCCTGGTTTGATATAATTGCTTTTATGGACAATTTATCTAACAACAACAAACGGGCAGTCGGATCACATCTCTGTGGTAGTCGGTCGTATTCTGAAGTTTTATTTTGATTTTTTGGGAAACGGTAATTTTTTAAAACAATTTGGCTATATCATGCTCCACTTCATCGCAGCAACTGAAAAAAGAAGTCAATAAAATTAGAAGATTCGAGTTATAATTGCGAGAAAATTGACAGCAAAAAGGTCTAAAGTAAAATCGCAATTCGCAATTATACTGCGAAAATTCATTTGATTAGAGCCTCTTGTACCCGATAGAAAACACGGTGATTTTCTATGAGAGTGGCTTTGCTGGACAAGAGAGAACCTTGGTTGGGCAGGTCCACGAGTGAAGCTGCTCAATGGTCCAGACAATGATATTACTTGAGTAAAAACTAGTTATTCACTCAGAGTTGCTTTAGTCCTTTTAATTACTTGCTTGTAGAGTCGCGTTACTATGTCAATTTTGAGTTTTCTATTTTTGAGTGTAACATGTTAAGTTAATGCGGGTCTTAAGTTGATCCATCTGAAATAGATTAATGGCCCACTGTCTAAAAAACATGCTGTAAAAAAACTGATGGCTTACTTGAGTTTTCAACCCTGTTTCTAACGCCCTTCGCGTGTTTTAGGTTTTTAGAGACCTAGTCATGGGGTTGATTTTTGTTCTAGACAAGAAGTGTGTTTTGGTAGTAGCCTTTAAGCTATAACACGATTTGGTAGTCCCACGTCTTGAGGGAACCGAATAAGCTCCGACATTTTGAGTTGCAAAAAACAAGAGGCAGTGTCATTGACCCTTGAGCCAATAGTTTTAGGGCCTTTCTCTCTTAACTTTTTTTCTGACGTAGGCGGTTGACTGTTACACTTGTCTGGGGGATGATTTATACCGATTTTGTTTGTTTTTCTACAGTTTTCATATTTTTCGATTATTTTTATGTTTTTTGGTTTTTTCTTAGGTACTATATTATTTTTTGTTTGATGTTTTGTCTAGCCTGTATCCTGAGAATTTTTTTGTTCATATACTAATCAGCGAACAACGGCACGGGCAATTCGCCCACCCTTCAAGATACGTGAATTTTCTGTCTTAACTATGTTAAGAAGCTAAATCGGGGAACCCGGAAGGCTTCCGTGGTCCAAACCATTCTTCCGGCTCTTGGTTAAGGGCCTTCTTTCACCATCCGCTCGGCGGAGAGTGCTTACATTGACAATCCGTGGATCAAGATAATTTTAAAAATTAACATCAGAGAAAAAATTACACCATTTTAATTCGGATGAGCTGTAAAGCAACTTTTGCTCTCTCTATTTTTTGTTTAGTCTTGACTCAATTTTCTTGACTCAATTGTCTAGAAGAAAAAAGGGTTTGAACTTCATTTCATTTTTCCGGGTAGTTTAAATCAGCACTGTAGATACCGACGGAAAATAAAGCTAGGTAATGAAACGACTGGCTATCGTCTAAACACAGCTTCACATACCTTTAATCGTCTCTACCAAGCCAGTTCAATGTGTGGTTCCTGATTATTGGTTCGACGAAGTCGTTACAACCTAGAGGCCATCGGCCTAACCGCGCAAATAAATTTAGTTATATACAAATTAGTGAGCTCATGGCTGGGTCTCGCAAGACCACGAGGTCACTCCCAGAATCAGGGCTACTACTTAAATAACATTGTACTTTTGATTTTGTTCAGTAGATAAAATCATCATATCTATCGGAGATGGATCAACACTTTCCCTCAACCCCTAGCTTCTCATACTCTAAAAATGAATAGGGTGTTACTTTAACTTCAATTCAAGACATTCCGGGAAGCTAAAAAATTTTAAAATACAGTCCAAAATTTTCTCCGGTAACCTTCCGGATTCTTGAATCTGAGTGAAGAAACGTCTCCTTCACTATCAGGAAAGGTAGCAAATCCTCCAGTCAGCCCTCCTGATTCGCGGGAACTGCTGTGTATTGATTGTAGCTGCACAATCGTTACAACTCCGAGCGCTCTTCTTCAAATATTGATGAAGGTATTTTTTTCTCGTTCGCTATGTCTGTCACACGTCTAATGTTGATTCGCGAAAATCGTGTCTGCTTTTCGCGGTTTTAGCTGTTGCGAAGATTGAGATTCCTGTAAATTGATAACTTGCTTTTGAAATTCTTGACTGAATTTTGCTGACATAGCATACCATACCATTTCAGACGTTTAAGAGCTAGACCATCCAGTGAAATTCCACCATTGGCCAGTGCTGTTATCAAAAGATGAAGTGTGATGGTGGCAAAAGCAGTTTTTTGCTGTTCTTCTTCTTCTTCTTCTTTCTGTTACGACTTTTGCAGGTCCTAGAATGGGACTCGGGCTCGCTCACTGCTCTCCTCCGTGTATGTTCTTCTTATGACGCGCGAGATTTGTTGCACTCTGGTCCTCCCCGCATATGTCGCATATCACCCGTTTGCCTTTTGGGGGTTCCTTAGTATGCCCCTCGCATGCTCGCCTATGGTTCGTCCATGGCCCTTTCTCGTTGAACGTGCGCATGCAATGCGGGCATGTGAAGGTCGTGAGACGCTCGTGGTGCATTTTCCTTTCATGTTGTGTCCTTCCACCCTTACTGGCGCACACTCGCTCACATCCTTCCCATCTACATTTATAGACATTCCCCCTTGAGTCTTCGGTATACTGTGATCTTCTGGGCTTTTCCTGTCTTCCATTTACGTTGCACATTTCATTTTCCCAGTTCTCAATGACTTGCATCCGTTCCTTAGTCAGTATCTTCCACTTTTTCCTGTCGCGGGTGAGGTTCTCGAGGTCTGTCCAATCCTTTCCCATCTCTTTAACTAGCCTCCTCCAGTATGAAATAAGACCATTGCGCAGGGTGCCCTGTTGTGTCGGCTCCATTTTCCAGTGTCCTAGGACGACTCTTTTCACTGTCCTGGTATTGGGCATTCGCAGAATGTGTCCTATTCGTTCCAGGGCTCGTTTTTCGATTTTGCACCGAATTGATGGTATTCCTTATTTGATACGAGTTTGTGCTGGTTTCCTGCATGCGTATCAAGGCAAGACCTCTTCCGCCATTCCAAATATGCCGATACGCCTTGTCCACCACGCTTTGCATCTTATTTATGTCTGTCTTTGACCATGGCCTCACAGCTGAGTCAAATAGCATTGTAGACTCAACTGTGGCTTGCACTACGATAGCTTGGGTACGTTTTGATAAGGTAGATTTCCATAACCACCGTTTGATTTTGTACCACGCGCAGTACCCTCTTTTTATCCGAGCAGCCTTGTCTTCATTTTTACCGATTCGTGTCCCTAGCATCCTTGTTTTATTGGCTGCCTCAGAAGCGAAGGATATGTTTTCCTCCTTGCCATCGTGGCATTTTCTTCGAACTGGGCGAGGGCTTCCTTGAAAGCTGTCTTGCCTTCCCTCAGCTCACTGTTCCAGCCAATAAGGGTTGAGTCGTCCGCGAACAAGGAGTCCACTAAGATGAACTTCTCTTGTGTACTACTTCTCGTCGCTCTCCGTGTATCTACGGGGGGTAAGCTATTGCCGGGTCTCCAGCTCCACGCGAGGCCGTACTCTTCGTCGTTACTCACTGCCTGTTGTTCCCGCATTTTTTGTGCTAGTCGGACCGCTTGAGTATGGTAGATGTTATACAGGATTGGTGATGTTGCACATCCCTCTCTCAGTCCTCGCTGTAGCCTCCAGTTCTCTTTACCCTTGACCCTGTAACAGGTTTTCTCATGGAGGCCTTTGATTATTTCCAAGACACTCGAAGTGACGCCTAGGCACTTCAGAATTCTCCATAGGAGTTGCCTGTTGGTTCTTGGGTACGCTTTTGTGATGTCTAAGAGGGTTGCCCCGGGGCGCCTTTCATCAATTTGTTGACAACAACCTAGCACTCTTCTTGTCTCCTCGTCCACTCGCAGGACAACTTGCGTAGCATCTGCTGTAGAGCGGCCGCTACGAAAGCCATTTTGATTCTCATCCATGGCGCCTATCTCTTCTGCCCATCTTATCCTTGTGGCAAAGAGCCTTGCTTTGATCCGGCTTGCCAATGGTAGGAGACATACCCCACGGTAGTTGTCCGGACAGTCTTTTGCACCCTTCTTATGCAGTGGTATCATCCAGCCCTCTTTACAATCATCTGGCCAGTCCGATGGACTGGTACCTAGGAGATTGGTTATGCAGTTGTATAGGGCTATTTTGGCGTTTCTGCTAAGGCATTTAATGCCGTCCATTCTGATACCATCGTTGCCCGGCGCTCCGTTGCTAATTCTTTCCAGTTGCTCAGTGAATTCGGCGAAGGTGATATCCTTCTCCAGGCGTTTTGCCGCTTCTATCGCGATTGCATCTTTCCTCTCTTCTGTTTCCAGTGCTGTGGCCTCTATATCCTCAGGTTCTCTCTAATACCTGTGCTTAGATACCGCCATAAAGTGCGCCCGGTATTCTTCTGGGCTGAAGAACTCGTCCTCTATGGTTTGCGTATCCTTGACACCGATCCGCCTCAAGGTTTGGTACAGCTTCCGCGTGTCACCCGCCCCTTCTGCGCTCTTTGCCTCCTGAACTATTCGTAGCCACCACGACTCCTCCCAGCGTTTCTTGTTCTTCTTAATTTGCCTTCTGGTCCTCCTTCTTTCCTCCTTCCACTGAGATAACCGCCCCGTGCCACTGGAGGCTTCGATGCGCCGCGTTAGTTCGCTAATCTGCCTTTTATGTTCTTCCATTTCGTTCAGGTGCTCGTCGATCCACGGGCTCAGTCCTGCCTTTTGTCTGATACCGCACACTTTCGTGGCCGTAGCTGTCACTACGTTGGTGAGAGCTTTCCAATCAACTTCACCTTGTACTGCGCTTAAGCCTTCATCAACACCTTTCTCGTACTCTGTTTTCGGGCCTTGTTCCCTTAGCTTGTCCCAGTTGATAACTGCTTGTGGCTTCCTTTGACCAAAGCTTTTCGACCTCCACTGTAGGTTGCATGACATGCTCTTGGGCTCATGGTCCGGGAGTTTACACCTGGTGTTGATGGTTCTTATGCCCCTTGCAACTCGACTCTTTTGCGACTGCTTCATGACAAAACCATCTAATTCGTGCCATGTATGGTAGGCAGGGTTTTTCCAAGTGCCCCTATTATTGTGACGGAAAAAACTGTTCACCCAGCAGAGTTGGTGCTCATGACACCAGTCAATTAGATCTCTTCCTGCTCTGTTGGTCTTCCCTAGACCAAACATGCCCGCAGCTTCGTCCGCCTCGCGCACCTGGATATCTCCCACTGTCGCGTTGAAGTCACCTCCTATGACCAAAATGTCTCTTGCTTTCCTGGTCTGGAGTTGACTGCTAAGCTCCTCACGGTACTCCTTAAAGACTTCGGGGTCGCTATTCCACAATGGCTGATAGAGAGCTATAAGTTTTGTGCCGTCCACGCAGACCGAGGTGCTTCTTTTTCCGCATTCTCGTTGGCAACCTTGGTCGCGCCAGTTTACGGCCCATAGGTCTCTTAAGAGGACTCCACTGCATTTCCCATGGACGAGTACTCCATAGAATTCTTTTGACTTAAACCACTTAATGCCAGGAGTCTCCTCGTTCATTTCCGAGAAAAGCACTAGCTCCACTTCAGATTTTGCAATTTCCCTTAACATCTCGCAAAACCTGCCCCTTCTTGGGAAGCTAGCTCGTGCCTTCCTGACATTCCATGTCCAGATTTTGGTAAACTTGTGCTTGCCCAGAGTTTTTCCCGGTATTTGACCATTTTTCTTCCCGTAGAATCTTCCTTCTTCCTCTCCTACGTCTTCGCTGCTTCTGTCTTTGCAACAGTTTACCGCTTGTCTCCGCCGGCTCTTCTTGTATCGGTTGGCAGCATTCACCTAGGAACGATGGGGACCATCTTCCATCCTCCCCTAGTTTTGTGCAGTCCCAGTGGATCCATTCGCTGCAACCGTTACATTTGACCGACCACGTTTTGCGTGTTATCCCCTTCCGACACTTCGTGCACTTCCAGGTCTTTGATGGACCCGGGTTCTTCTCCACGTCGTGCAACAGTGCAAGTCGGATTGCCGCTAACGCGTGCCTTTGTCTCGTTATCGCCTTGTTTCTCCTCCGGTGGTCGGCTACTCCTCCGGCGGGTTTGATAGGTGTATTTGACTCAGCAGTGTAGCCTAGGCTAAACCCACTGCTGAGCCTCAGTACCCCCCCTGGTTTGGCTTTTGTTCTCCTTGACGGATCTGCGCTTCTTCCCTCTTGCCGGGACCAAACCATGAAGAACTGTTTTTTGCTGTTATACACTGCGTCCTCTGCGTCGTCTTGCATTGCTTGATTGCCGACGTCATGCCTTGCTTGATTGCCGATGTCTTATTCACTCCAGTTGCGGGATCTGAAGTCGCGGTAGTGTTTTTTTAACGAAAGACGTAAAAGAATCTATAGAATCGCGTAACCCACTGGGCGTAAAATTGATAGTGCTGATATTCTCAAGAATTTTAAATCATCTTCTTCTTAGAATGATTTTTAAAAGCCTAACTGCGTAACATAAACCCTTTCCCTTTTTTGTTTTCAATGTTTTTCCTAAAATGACCGAATTTGAAGTAATGTTCAGTTCTACCCAGATATATCTACACCGTATATCAATTTATGTCCAACACTGAGTGACTGTTTCAGAAGAAAGTGAAATAATAAGAATACAATATGATTAATTCAATTTGATGAAACATTGTAAAATTAGCAATCAGATGGAAGAATGAAAGGGAAATTTTTTGAAGAAAAAAATTTGCAAATATAGTGATGCTTTTGGAAATTCAACGGGTTCAGTTAGCCTTCCAAAGAAAAAAATTTCTTAATTAGCACTGCATCGAGTTAGTGAGTTTCTGTTGCACCCCATGAGCTCTTCTCTTCTTAGTTCCCTATCCAAATTGCCCGAGCTAGTGGTACCAAAACTTCAGGGCAACCTTTTCCGAAAAACAAAAGTTTGTTTCAGATTTTTTAGCATGCAATGGTTTTTCAAAATTTTTGCGACTTGGAAGCGAATCCTCAAAAAAATGCCAATCTCCGAGGCTGATGATTTCTCAAAGTTATTTTTGTTCTAGACATGAAGTGTATTTTGGTAGTAGCCTTTAAGCTGTAACACGATTTGGTAGTCCCACGTCTTGAGGGAACCGAATGGGCTTCGACATTTTGAGTTGCAGAAAACAAGGGGCCTGAGTTTTGGAGTTCAATTTTTGTGATAATAGTTTTATAGAAGACATCGCGTTTTGTGTATTTTTGACATGTTTATTTCAGACACCTGATGTCTCATAGGAAGTTTGAGGCACCAAGGCATGGACATTTAGGGTTTTTACCGCGAAAGCGTTGCAAGAGGGGAAGGGGAAAGATAAAGGCATTTCCAAAGGATGATCCTTCTAAGAAGCCACATCTTACTGGGTTCCTTGGATTCAAGGCTGGAATGACCCATGTAATTCGCGAGGTCGAAAAACCAGGATCGAAATTGCATAACAAAGAGACTTCTGAGCCTGTGACTATAATTGAAACTCCACCCATTACAATTGTTGGTTGCGTGGGATATATCAAAACTCCCGGCGGCTTAAAACAAATGAAAACAATCTGGGCGAAACATGTGAATGATGGTTTCAAAAAACGAATAGTGAGAAATTGGTATCGAACCAAGAAAACGAGTGCGTTCTCCAAGATTGGATCCCGGTATGGATCTGAGAAGGAAATAGAGAAGTTGAAAGAGTTGATGAAAAAGTATTGTACATCCATCAGGGCAATTTGCCACACTCAGATGGTTGTTAATAACAAAAAAAGAATTCGTTCGGTGCAGACGAAAAGAGATCCAATAATGGAGTTCCAAATTAACGGTGGAACTATTGCTGAGAAGGTTGATTTTGTTGTGAGCAAGTTTGAACAGGAAGTGCGAATTAAAGATGTGTTCAATTTTGAAGAAATGATAGACGTTGTCTGCATCACGAAAGGTAAAGGTTTCAAAGGAGTAACTTCTCGATGGCATACGAAGAAACTTCCGCGGAAGACACACAAAGGACTGAGAAAAGTAGCTTGCATTGGAGCTTGGCATCCTGCCAGAATTCAGTATTCAGTTGCTAGGGCTGGACAGAAAGGGTATCATCATCGAACTGAGATAAACAAGAAGATTTACAGAGTAGGCGATAAGGACGATATGAAGAGATCTGGAATAACGGAGGCAGACATTACCAATAAAACTATCAACCCGATGGGTGGATGGCCACTCTATGGATACGTCAAGAATGATTTTCTGATGATTAAGGGTCAGTTTTTTTCTGTTTTTGTTTTTCAAAAAATCATCTAATTGAAACTCAACATTTTAATTGGTACAGTGTGCCTTATTGCTTAATGCCAATGTGAAATTAACACGAAAATAAGCATCTCCTATTTCATTCTTCGCAAGGTGGAGCTTTATTTTATCTAAAATGTACCATAAACTGATATAACGTTGACCGGCATAATAAATGGGTATTTTATAAAACCTTTGAAGCTCTTAGATAGTCAGACGGTTAGTCAAACATTTACGTAATTCGTTGCAGATGACTATTTGATTAGGTTCTTGTGGTGGACCCAAGCGTAGGCTGCTGACGCTGAGGAAGAGTCTTCTATCGCATGTGGGATCCAGGAGTGCGATGGAGAAGGTGAATTTGAAGCTAATTGACACCACCAGCAAGAAGGGCACAGGTAGATTCCAGACCACAGCCGAGAAAAAGGCCTACTATGGACCGAGTAAGCGGGAGAGGACCGTTGTCGTGTCAGCTGGAGGCGATAAAACTGCCTGAAATGAACTGTATTTCACGGTGCTTTAGAGTCGTTTTACTCAATTCACTCTTGACCCAATCAGTTTTTGTTGTCACTTGCGAAAGCAAGTGTCTTGTAATCGGGAACTAGACTTTTTTCCCCGCAAACAACTTTTCTTACAAATTTTCAACTTGCTTTATTATTGAATCTTCACAACTTCCAGGCCTTGACCCAGAGGTAACCTAATCGCCTTTGCACCTAAGCTCCGGGGTTCGAATCCCGACTGGACATTGTTTTTTCAGTATGTACACAATTGAAGAAATTTTTCGGTAAAAATTGATTTGGCGGAATTTCGTTTGTCTGCTCAAGTTTTGTCGGCGTAGTTTCCGCATCACGGATTTTTTTGGTGCTGTAAGCAAGCATTATGGTAGTTTTAAGAGTTTTTCATTGTAGTTTCTGGAGGACTTCAACTGTTTAAATTGTTTTTGTATAAATTCTTTTTTTTCGGCTCAACTCGACAATATTGCGAGTGCTAGGTGTTTAAGATAATGAAGTCTCAACAGTACTGGAGATATAAAGATGAATCATTTATACCATGTGAAAGATATTAACATCTGAAGCTCAAAATAAAAAACATTTTTGCCCGCGACTTCATGTACCGACTATTGAAAAAGGGGAGGAACTTTGTATTCGGGTGTTTTAGTTTTTTTTCTTACAAAATTAGGTACCAGTATTAATCATCAGAAAGTGTCAAGTGAAATAACATTTTGAAACCCTTTCAGTCGTGATTTGAACATCGTGAGAAAAATTTCTCAGTCTCGAAAAAAAACGGTTGGAAATTTCTGATTTTTGGTCTAATTTGAGCTAATAAGGTGAGCGGTGCAGGCTTACAGTAAATAAGCTACTTGAAATATAACGATGATTTATTTATACCATGCGAAAGATAAGCTATATCATATCTTATTTTTGCTCAATTCAAGTCGTGAAAATTTAGTTTCACTCGAGTAAAGCCCTTTTTAGTCAAAATTCGAACGATCTTTAAAAATATTGAAAAAAATTCTCTATCGAGAAAAACCGGTTTGAAACTTTTGACTTTTGATCTGTTTTGAGCTAAAAAGGTGAGCGTTATTTATGCTCAATTTAAGCGGTGAAGACTTAGTTTTACTCGAGTGATGTTAGTTTTTGGAATTTTCAGCGCAATTTGGGAATAAAAAACTCGGATAATTCAAACGTTGTCTTGCATTTTTTCTTTTGTTGCAGTCAATTTTCAAAAACTGTTTTCCAATTCGCCTTTTTACTATGACTGTCAAGTATAATAAGTTCTAGTTTTCTGTTTGAATCAGTCCATTATCAAATCAGTCCATTATCACAGCACGGAGAAAAAACGACACTAATTGAAAAAAAATGTATTTTGTCAAGACGATGGGCGGATCATGTTGTGCTACTTGCACAGCAATCGGCTGTCCTTGTCTTAATTGTCTCTCTAAAATTTATTTAAGCAGCAGACACAATACCCTAAAAAGCATTGACCGATTGCTGTAATTGAAGAAGGGACCAATCCATTTGGAAAAGTTGAAGTTCATGGAACTTCAAAGAAAATAAAGTCAAACCAAAAAAGGTCTACCTTGGGATAAACAAAGTTTAAAACTATTTTCTGTGACTGTCTAAGTTCCAGATAAATTTTTTTATTTAAGACTATGTTCGGAATATTTTGTGCTACGTGCACAGTAATCGGCTATCCTTGTTTTCTTTGAAAATAGGCAGTTGAGATAATTCAGTTTGAAAAATAGCCGTGTATTATATCAGAAATATATCTACGTCCTTGACTTTGCGCCTGTGAAAAAAATTGAACAACAGCAACAAAAAAGAAGATTGATATTTTTAAGAAAAATTTAAGGATTTATAAAACTACTACAGATAAGTTACCGGGTATTCAGATTATTCAGGGCTTTGACCTGCTAAAAGTATTTTTTATTAATTTGTCATTGTCAAACTACTAACAAAATTAGAATCTCGTAACATAACTTGGGATGAATGATGTTTCTTCTTTTCTTGGCGATTATTTCACGCAACTGCAATATTTTCTTTTGTTGCGGCTATTCATACAACATTTCCCAATTTTTTAGAGTCGGTTGAATATGTTTTGCTCGCTTAATACTAAAGCAAGCTAAAAGAGGTTTCTTGTTTTTCATTCAAGACCCTCTGTGGATTAATGAAGCATTTGTAGGCCATTTCGACAGAAGGTTCGTTGTAACTAGAAGTAATTATAAGTTTCATATCACAAATCAGTCTGGTTTCTGTGAATTTGATTGTATTGTAGTTGGGGGCTATCAGAGTACTTCCAGCGGGTTACAAACTTTGCCTCCAAATATGACTGCTCAAATCCTTGTAGTTTTCGAGGTATGACGTTTTTTGTGATTTTTTTCACGTATTTGTTAGCACTTATTTCCATTTTTTTCAAAATCCCTTCTACCGGTTTTCAAAAAGGCTGTCCTTAGAAAAAGTGGCTACACCCTTGTCTGCAGCGTTCGAAAAAAGGAAATATTTGATTAATATGTTTTTTTTCGTTTTCTCAAAAACTAACGTGATAAATCTGAGGTTTTGGTTTAACTGAAAAAAAATGGATTTGAAAGGCTCCTCTCCATGAGCGGATTTGCGCTTATTTTTTATACACAATATTATCCCCTCTGAGTAGTGAAATATTTGATTTTTTCGACAGTTTTTGAATCTATTTGACATTTCTCGAAAACTAACCTCCAAATCCTGAGATTGTGGCTTCAATGGAATTAACGGGTAGTTGGTAAACTTCCCGGTATTAGCGTTCACTCGCAATTTTTTTATGCAAAAAGTTATCGTCCTCGGAAAAGTCAATTTTTTGAGCGTTTTTTTGAGCTTCTTTTGAGAAGTTTTTTTGAGCTTCTTCAAAAAATGCTCTCCCATATCTGATATTTTGGGTTCAATGCAAAGCCATGTTTTTGTGGCATCACAAGTGGTGCGTAAATTTGCAGCGCCTCTATGTAATGAATTTCTTTTCAGCTTCATTTTTGAAGATTTGGTGCAGACACGCCTGCGACGAGAAAGGTCTTGGGTTCGAATCTGCCTAGGACTTGTACTTTTTGTAAACTCAAATATCCGCTTTATAAAAAAAATTGTCGGAGAATCATTTGAGTGCTCCTTTTTGTCTTGGTATTTTTTTCTGTAATGGTGCAGGCTTATGATATTCTGTATATTTCAGGCTTTTTAATTCCATAAATTGTTGTTTTTTTTTTGAATATTCGCTCAAGTGTCTTTTAAGTTTAAGCTCAAATAGTTTTTCCGGCTTGGCTTCAATTTTTTTTTGCAAAAAGGAAGGCAAGTTATGCTTTCCAATTAGAAACGTGCAAATGGCGCTAAAAACGTGACTTCGAAAATAGTTTTTAATTTATCGTATAGTTTTGCCAGCCAAATAAAATTTAGGAGAGATATAATTTCTCTCATTGGGTTGTTTTTAAACCCGGAGTCTGTCAAGATTCTTGAAACTTGAATCTTGAAAATATTTGATTTGAACACTGTTTTTGGAAGTTTCTATTTCGTATTTCCATGTTCCTTTTAGTCAAACAAAGCATTGCATGGAGAGCAAGTGCGTTTACTTATTTGCAAGGTTTGAAAAAAAATCCCTTTACTCGCAAATGATTAAAAGAGCTTTAGGGTCATTAGTTTTCTATATGTCTCGAAAGTTGATTTTTTTGAGTTCCCTTGTTTTAATTGACTCTTTTGTTACTCTCTGTTGGCTATGTTTTATAGATTAAGATTGCTGAAAGTCGTAAGTACGATTGCTGAAAGAAGAAAATTTTGCTAGTTTTTGTCAAATAACTTTGGAGGAAATTTCAAAAAGTTTTAAGTTTCGTCTAACTGATTAAATTACAATGAGTGGAATATTTCTGAAATTTTTCAAAACAAAAGTTTTTTTAATTTCAAACTTGCGAAAATTTAATCGATGTTTTCTATGGGATTTACAATTGATTTTCGTACGGTGGGTTTAATATGTCGAATTAGCCTTATTGAACAATAAATGTGTTAGAGAACTGGTTGTAGTTCCAGATGAAAATTAATTGAATTGAAATTATCTGACAAATGAACACAGACTGACAGTCGTGGTCAAGTGGGTTAGGCACATCTCTCTTAACACGAGGGTCATGAGTTTGAATCCCGCTTCGGTCACGGCTGGAGGGGTCCCAGTGTCATCCGCCTCCTCAAGGTGGGACCGGCTGCGGCAAAATGGATGACATCTCCCCCTCCCCCATGGTTGGTCCTGCACTGAGCAGGCTGGGGGCAAATAAAAAAAAAAACAGACTGACAAACGACAAATTACTAGCAGTGAACGACTGATTTTAAGCAATTTTTATTTGATTCCTGATACATTTATGTTGTCAAAAGCATTTACTTTGTCTTGTTTTTTTGCTTTACGAGAAACTTTTTCACAATTTTTTTAGGCAATTCAATCTGAATTTGAATTACTTTACCAACTATACACATAAATTAAAAGCCAAATTATATGCCTGCAGGGAAATCCTTGTAAGAGCAACTTTGCTCATCGAGTCGGATATCCTGGAGAGGAAAAGGAAATAATCACATAAATTTATTATATATTTTATTTTAAAAATTTTAACGAAGTGGGCTAAGTTAAAAAAACAGTGCATACAGGTCCCAAATTTTTTTAGGTAGGCAATCAAAAACTGCTTATATAGTCTGAGAAAAAGAATTATGTCCGTTTCTTTGTGGCTGTTTCCAGGTATTAAGATCTTTGATTGACTCTTGTCTACGCTTGCAAAATACTGCTCTTAATTTACTTTAAATTCAATTTTGTTCTTTGAGGTATAGGTGGCAATTAACATGAGAAGCCTGTGGACGTTTTCCTTCTGCGTATGCTGGGCTGTCTGAGTTTGAAACCGGGACTTTTGCCGGTCCTGCTGGCCTGCTTAGCCACAATCATGTCCGTCACTGTCTCGAACAGACTGTCGACTCCTTCGCCTGTTCTGGCCGATGTCTGGAAATAGAGATCGTAGAAGTTTCCGGCCATGTCTTCCAGGTTTTTCTCCTGCATCGGGGTTGCAAAATTGTTTGAGTTGTATTTAAAAATATTTTTTTTAATAGCTAAGAAAGAAGGCAAAAATTGCTTTAAAATATCTGCGAGGTTATTCTGCTCGTTTAGAAAAGTGTCTTCCTAATAGCTCTGTAAGTTTGGTGGATTACTTCCTCCATTGTTAAAACTTGAAGCTACTGATAGCAAAAAACTACTGGTTTTTCTTGCAACCGTGCCTGCATGCGTTTCATGTCACACTTATTGGCCACCAGTGCAAAAATGGTATCCGTAGACACTATCTCTTCCGCCTTCTGGCGCCACTGGTCCAGAACAAGCATGGATTTGTCATCATTGATGGCGAACACGATCACCACTGCGTCTGCGAACCGAAAGTTGACTGATGGAACTGTTGTTATGTCACATTGTCCCTGTAGAGTCCACAAGTTCAGATCCACGGCTTTTTTGCCGCGCTGGATTCGTTTAACGATGAAGTCGCTGCCAAGAGTAGCCACATAAGCCTCGTTGAAGAGTCCTGAAAATGCGAGATATGCATTTAGTACGGCCTGTAGTTTTGTTCAGAAAACTCGTTCATACCTATCGTACCTGCCCTTATGGAAGTGGTACAAAATATAGTTTAAGTGTATATAAACGGACTGAAGACACTTCTTTAGGTCTTGTGGTTGGTTACTTGATAGTTCTTTCAAAATCAAGACCGTGCACAAATTCTGGTGGATTTTGGTTTTCTAAATTTGCCAAACGAAAATGAATAATAAGAATAGTTCAACCGGCCCGAATATTCCCGCATCCAAGTTTAGGCGTAAGTAATCGATTGTAACGGATTATTATGATAATTTTTTGACAATTATAATTGATTATAGTTACCAAAATTAGGTGTTTAAAAGATTTATAATTGATTATAATCGTGATATTTTCCAAGAGATTATAATCTCTGATAATCGATTATAATTGATTAAAGTTCTTACAAAAAACCCTTAAAATCAATTATAATCGATTATAATTTCTTTTTTTTTGCCGGTATTTTGTCAATTCAAAACTGTATTCGAATTATACCTTATGGGTTATTATTTTTGTGTAAATAAAAAAAATCTTTATAAAAGAGATCTCTTGAACACTGTGGTTCATCTGAATACAAAGTTTTACCACGAAACAAAAGTTTCATAGTGATCCTTTCATATGAATGGAAAGATTCCCGCGGTAGATGAAATATAAATCTTCCGAATCAATCATGAAACTAAATCAATTTGTTGATGTTTTGGTGTTTGAAAAAGCTCAAAATATATATCACAAAACAACTCTAATGGAGAAGAAACGAAAAAAAAACTTATAAATTCGAATTAATCGGAAAACTTTAAAAGTATTTTTCTCAATTTTCACAGGAACCAACGTCTGCAAAAAGCATAAAATATAAGCAATTGAGATGCAACTTCGAAGACAAAATGGACAAACAAAAGGGATTATAATCAATTATAATCGATTATAATGGATTTTTGGGCGAAACTAATGAACTAAAAATTTGAATAAAATTAATGAATTATAATCAATTATAATCGCTTTTAATTGTATCGAAAAATAGACGAATAAATAATCGATTATATTGGTTTATAGTTAATTGAAATTTGATTTTAAAAATATCGATTATAATCAATTATTAATTGATTCAAATCGATTTTTTCTCAATTTTAGTAAGACTGGTACTAAAATTGTAATATAATCGATTATCAACGCTTGAAACTGGATGCGGGTGTGTATCGAACCTCATCAGTTGAAATGATCGTTAGATCTTTTTTTTGCTCTTGCAAACAGATTCTTTTGGTAATGCGCTTGCGGATTTAATTTATTCGGACTGAAAAATTAAAATTAGTGTGAAGTTGTCAAAAATCTTTCCTCAAAAATTAAGAAGACGCAGCATAGTTTGTTCATAGGACTCGCTAATAAAAATTTTTTTAAAGTAATTGTATGATTTTGCATATGTTTTATTTCAATTCAATGTGACTCATCACTCTCAAATTGAAGTAACTTTGACCGCAACAAAATTCACCAGAATTAACACAAGATGGCATGTTTTTTTTTGCATAAAACGCATGTGTTCAGTATGTTTCTGTGCCATATTTGAAAAACCAGTGCAATATTAGACACACTAGAGCAATATCTTTCCTAGAATAACAAACCAAAACAAATAAGAAACAAAACAAAACTGTTTGTATAAGGGCCAAGCCCTGAATATTTCGACTGCCTTTTTAAGTCAATGGAGCAGTAATAACTTGGAACAAATTAAATGTAAAAAAAAGAAATTTTTCATTTAAAACGAAAATCATCCCCCCACACGCCATATAAAATACAAAGTGGGAGATTTTGCTCACATTAACAAATAAATTTGGCAGATAAGCGTCCTTTAACCAATTTGGAACAATTTCTAGGACGGGTTAATTCTCCGCTTTCGAGTTAATAGCGCGAAATGGATCGCGCGTTAATTGTCCCAAATTGGCAAAAAAAGGCAATCTTGAAACCCCCAAAACTTTACAAAAATTGATCACAGGTGATATATTCTTTCAATTATCAGCTCAGGACAACAAAAGTTTTTGAATGATAAAGAAAAAAATTCGTCAAATTGGCTAGTTAAAAAACCGAAATTTGTCTGAAGAAAAAAAACCCATCCCGAGCACAAATATTCCGTTACTTTCGTTGCGAAAGTCGGAACAACAAAATTGCTCGTATCAGTTCAAAAACCTGAATTGTCCGACTGGCTTTTAAGGTTTTTGGAGCAGTAATAAGATGAAAAAATGAAATGTAACGAAATTTTTTTTTAATTTGAGATTTTTTGTAAAAACATCCCCCCACACGTTATATTAAGTACAAAGTGATAAATGTTGCTCATATTAACAAATCAAATATGGCATATGAGCTTCTCAAACCAATTTGGAACTATTTTTATGATGGATTAAATCTCCACTTACGCTTTAATAGCTCGAAATATATCGCGCGTTAATTGTCCCAAAATGGCAATTTTTAATTTTTAAATTCCCATAACTTCACAAAAGAGATTACAGGGGAAATATTTTTCCAAATTTAAGCTCAGGACAACAATGTTTTTTGAATGATATTTAAAAACTCCCGTCAAAAATGGCTGGTTAAAAAGTCGAAACTTGTCTGAAGAAAAAAAACCACACGAGCACAACTATTCCGTTAACTTCGCTAAAAAAGTCGGAACAATAATAGCCTGGGTTAAAATCCTTTGAATTAGACTTTTTTAATAGCTGGTTATTGATCAAAATGAACACTTTCAAAATGAACACATTTTATCGCAACAATCTTTGCATCGCAACAATATTTGCGACTTAGGTTTGGAAAAAAAGATAGTTCATATTATAACACAAGCATTGCTTGTGTAATTACAAACTGCTCAAATAAAAAACTATACCTTGGAAAGTAAGCATTTCAAAAGCGTGCCAGTAATACAAATGGAAATTGAGCCGACGGAAGTTAGGACGAAAACCATGAATCCAAAAAAAAATATTTGAAAAAATAGGCATGAAAAACAAATCAGATAAAAACAGAAGTGTATTAAGAGTCTCAATGCATTTCGAAAACGCAATAAAGGTTGACAAAACCGATATAACAGAAACGCAAATATTTGTTTGAAAAAAACTAAAACAATCGAAATTATGGTCCAATCGAGGGAGGGTTGGAGGGGGGGAATGCACAAAAGAACATTCGCGAACATTAAAATTAATCGGGAAAATCCAAATTAACCCAATAATCCAAAACACGCACGCCGTGGGCTAATCATACACAATAATTTTATTTGCAAACTCCATTTCGAGATGGTCTGACTTTGAAAGTCAGCCGGATAAAAAAAATGATTACGAGAAAATATATATGCTTCATAAAGCTCAGAAAAAAGACGATTCAGATTATCTCACAAAGATTTTCTTAAAAAATGGAACTGCAAGGGATAGAGAAGCTTTATACCGCAAAGACAGCATAGAAAACTGACCCATACGGATTGAGGCGCACGGTCTGACTGTCAACTAAATGCTCAATACGTCAAGGAAGACAAGTCGGAAAACAGGGACACGTGCATTCAAGAAATGGGACCTTTTACTGATCCCGTCAGATGGAAATTCAATGACGGCAGACCAGCAGACACTAACTGGAAAAAATTGTCCAGATCGGCCCTTTTATAAACCCTTTCAAACTACCTTCAACAAGGTGGGACTATCACGTGGAAAGAGGCTTAGTGTGTGTGGACCGAAAAATTGACATACCACTGGTGCTCAGAGACGGATGCGTGGACTTATTCGATGCAACGCGCCCTGAATAATTCGTCGATACGATATTAGTCTTCAGAGAAACTATGCTGGTCACGCAAACACAGGAGCCTTTTCAACAACGCTGAGAATGGCAAGCCCTGTTTTACAGTTTGCAAAAATTTAAAACCACTAATCGCTCGCTCGAACTAGAAGAACCTATTTAAAAAATAAAGGGAATTGAACGAAAAAAATCTCAACTACTGTTTGTCGGACCACTACGATAAAAACATTATAGAATTAGCGATTTCACCAGAAAATGACCATTGCGGTATTGGTCTCGTGGAGCGCCATGTCAAAAGCGTTAAAATCCGCTTATGTTGCATGATGGAAGATCGAAAAGAATCCGTCAAAGTAAATAGGCACAAAACGAGTTTATAGCAGCGCTAAGAAGTGCTCAACAGCCCAAAAAAGTGATTATTTGAGGCACGAAAAGGTGCACCGCCGAATAGCAACACCCAGGCTATGATCATTGCGAGCCCAAACACACGGAAAAGGCACGAACATTTATGAAACGACTTCAAAAAATATACAAGGGATAATTACCAGAACGACAAAAATTCGACGCCTAAAAAAATGAGAATGGAAAGATCGCGCAAAACGTTAGACACAAAGGACCTCGAACATATAGCGACCAGGAGCCACGACTGTAATCCAAGCGGCTCTCATGCCGATGTTGGAAACGGGTAAAACAGTCGGAACCATGTCGCCGCTTGCTTTGCTTGTAGACTCAAGCTTTGCACAGATGAGCGACAATTCTGTGCAAAACTTGAGTCTACCAGCAGCAAATGAATAGTCGAAACTTCAGTCAACTTGTATAGCAGGTGGCGATATGGTTCCGGGGGTCGAATAAAGGGGGTACAATGGACAACATGAAACGGGACGACGGACAGCATAGCGAGGCACCATGCAAAGAGAGAAAGTTAAATTAATCGGCCTAGGGCGGCTACATTTTAAAAACGAAACTCAGCGTCATCGAGAATCGATGACGAACGGTACAAATAACTGCAGGAACATTGCAAGAACAGCCAAGAAGGTACTCGAGGAAAATGAGAGGGCCATGAAAGCTAGGTCAAAATCCAGCCACGATACAGCACAGGAGAGCATCGACAGTACCGAGATCGCCTAGTTAAACGGTTAAAAAGGGGCACACACGCACAAGTGCACAGACCGTCTAAAAGAGAAAATTTACAGAAATTGCCGGAGGCAAAAGAGGGTAACAGAAATCTGTATACCAAAAAGTTTAAAACTATAAGACTTTCATTTTTTGTTGAAGTACGGTATGGAGTACCTTACTAGCCAGATGGGCACCTAAATAACTATGAGATGCTTTTTTTTCTATATCATGTGGATGACTGTGGCATTACCGTTATCGCTGTTAACGACTTCAGACAAAGTGATAAATTATGCCCCTCGGCTCATGCTTAAAAACATTTTTGGAGAGTAATTTTTTTTGTACTTTGCGATTATTGCCATTGAACTAATAAAGTTTTGGCAGTCTGTTTAGTAAAATCTAGCTAATTTAACTAACATACAAAAAATTCGGACCAAGTGAACTATCGGCCTTCTAAATCAAAATAGGAAAGAGATAGTTCATTTTTTTCCTAATAATAATTTTCAGCAAATCAGATTTCGGCACAGTACATGCACGCCTTTCTGTTTTAATTTTCATTTTATATTAGGGAAGAGACTGCTCACTTAGTCTATATAGGGCCAGATTGCTCACAAAGGTCAAATTATTTTGAATTTCACCCTGTAGAATTACTAATTCTAGACTTACCCAAGTACGTTTCGGACGAAGACCGGTAACGAGTAGAGAGTGACCTTCCCCCGACTGAGGCTGAACCTTGTACAGCAAATAAATGGCTTCCGATCCGATCCAACCCCCTGTATGCCCGGCGACGTAACTCCACTTAGCCTCCTGGCCCTGGTCGAGGCCATACTCGTAGATGTTGTCTCGCAACATTTCGGCCAAAACGTGACGATCCGACTCGAGTATCCTGCGTTGAACGACACTCTGACCGGGGTTGAATAGCGGGTAGAAAGGCGACTGATAACGGGCAATTTGCACCCGTTGTTGTCCTGAAGCCTCGTAGACCGATCATTAGTCCCGGTAAGAAGGTGGTGGATGCAATCTAGAGAGCAATTGGACCCGGGCGAGCGCATTCTACAGCCACTACTTGTATCGAAAGAGGTCAATTTCGGCGTGGTTTTCCGTTATAACGGGGTTGCTTCCTATCGCCAACCCCAACCTTTGGCAAATGTGGACTCGCGTCTCCGCCGACAAGTGAATCATTGGTCTGTCACTAACAATCGCCTTGCGTTTTTCGGCACAGCACTCGCAGTCAATGCAAAGGGCCCGACAATGCTGGCGCAAGTACTCTATGGGGTACCGGGTGCGGACTTCCTGCTCCAGTTGGTGTTAGCCTCCTTGTTAACTCAAAGTGACCTCGTGCATCTCTTTTAATGTTGAGTCGACGTTCCGGTCGTGTGAAACGACCTTCACGTCCCGATATAACTTTTCCGCCTGAACGTGAGCTTGGAAACTTTCCGGTGGAAAGCTTCACGCTGCGCTGCATTTAGATTAGGGGGAAGGAGTTCTCGACCTCGTGGGTTACCCTTATGGTACGCAATATGGTACGAGGGTTACCCTTATGGTACGAGTTTCCTTTAAGGTTTGGTAGTCCATATTTATGAAGGTATTATGAGAACGAAATATTATGTAAAGCTAATGGGGAGTGCGTACTATTAAGATTGTTTAGCCAATAAGATGAGAAGAGAAGTAAACAATTGGTCAAGTTGCAAAATCGACCAAAACAAACAAAGACTAGTCAGGATTTGGAAACGAGACCAAATGTGATAACCACCCCCTCCCAAATGTAAACTACCTAGCCTAGCTTTATGAAACTCACTGAACGAATATTAGAGGTGATTTGAACCGGGCATGCAAAAATCCAGACACCCCGGGCCCAAGTGATAACGGTTGCCGGAAGAGCAAAAAACCTTATCAGAACTCTGTAATTAGAAGTTGGAATGGAACCAAAACATAGTACGAGATAGACCTAGTTGAGGGAAGCTTAAGTTTAGAACCCCAGACCCCCTGGACCCCTACTTCCGGTGCTATGCCCTATGCAAACAGTCCCCACCCCGACTTACCGGAGTCGCTTCTCGGCCCCAACTAAACTCAGAGAGCTAAAACTTTGGGATATCATAGGTAGTGACGAGATACATCACATATTATAATTTGAGCCAGATCCAGCGGTTGAACCGGAAGTTATTAGCACTTGAAAAAAGTACCCTTGGAACCGGAAAAAAGGCAGTTTACGCAAAATAATGAGCATGGGCCTATTGATTGTATGGCGGCGATAGGCACTAAAATTCATCTTCGAAAAAAAACCCATTTGAGTGAAACCCCTTCGACGGCTCATTCCGGTGTTAAATTTGGTAGGCCGGACCTCTTTAAGATTCTAAACCTGAAGGTGGAAGATTGACCCCGGAGTGAACTTTAAATGACCTTTAGGCAATTAGGACTAGAATTGCCTGGAAAACCCTGGGATTAACACCGGGAAGTGGCGCATTCCCCCAACCCTAACCCTTGGTAATGAGAATCGGTCATCATGGCAATATTTAGGAGGGAACCTAATAATTGGGAAATGGAGCAGAAACTGAGAGAGATATAACTTATACATTGAAGTATACATATACTTGAGCAGGGTATAGGTCGGAATTTTAGATACTTGGATTGAAGTAGCGAACCATAAAAAGGGTCTTCGCCTACCCTAGGGAGGTCGGGACATTAATGGGATTATTGAACAAAAACCTTGGGAGATTGGTTTGGAGGTGAAATTGGACTTGATATTTGCACAACTTAGTTAGAGATACCTATAATTGACTTGGAATTTAAGACTAGTGTCGTCAGAGGAAGAATTCAGTTAAAAGCTTGCAAAATAGGTACCAAATTAATTGTCAGGACTTGTAGGGACGACATAAATCTAACTATAGCTAAAACTCAAATAGACAAACATTAGAAAGTCTAACAAATAGCCTACTCTTAGGCAAAACAAAGTGAGCTACTAGTGAGAGTAATTGGTTGTCAGTTAGATTGAGCAAGCCGAGAAGAATAGATGGTCCGTGGAGGACGCTATTGCTTGAAGCGAGGCTAGTTGTGTCTCAAACTTATTAGTTAGTTTAGGATTAGCTGATTTGAACCCGAGTTTAGTATCGGGGTGAAATAATTTCGTGAACGAGTTGCGCTGTAGAGTCGGTAACCGTTGGCGACTCTGGAAGTGGACTGAGTGAAGACCGACGAGTGAGTTAGCGAACGATCGAGCGAAACGAGACGCGGGCTTCTGATAGAAGTAGTTAATAGTAGTTAGCTCATTAAGGGCACTGTAAATTACTTTTTGTTTCCTTTGTGATTGAACAAGAATTCACTTATTGACCACGATTTGCTGAACTAGTTAGAAAGGGCAGAGGAGAGCCGAAGAGAGCACTAACAAAAAGGGGGGAAGTTGCTTAATCCCTTGATCAGCCGATTTAGTCTGACCATCAACATAACCCTTTCGGGATTTTAGAACACCTACTATTAGTGTCCCCCGCTGTTGCAAGGTGGAAAAGACTACACACCCGGTAATATTTGATCCATCAAATGGCGCCCTGTAGATTGATTTTGGAAAAAAAAATCCAGAATAAATTGCCACAAAATTGTTTACCCATGAAACGAACTTGAAAAACGAAAATTTTGCAATGGAGATAGATTGCGTGAAGTTTATCGATCTGCCTAACTGTACCGTCAGTGTATTTTCTGACTAAGCTGGTCTTGCCGGTGTAGCCAAAGCCAGCAAGGATGATCTTGTATGACTCCTGTTCCCCCTGCTGATCCACCATCACAGCACACCACTACTGAATGGCCCAGTCGTAAAAAGAGCACAGAAGAAAAACTTAATCAATTAACAAAGCTAGTGAACAATAATACTCAACACTACTCGATTTGTCTGTCGAAGAGACTAGTGTTGAAACGGGAGACTCAAAACACGACTACTAGTCTAGTGGGAAGCGTTAGTCGTGTTGCTTTATAAATCTGCAACCAGACACGACTTTAAAAGAAAGCAACAAGCGAGCCAAATGACCATCATATTTATTGTTTCAATTTTGTTTGTTGAGATGCGGCAGTGTGTGTTAATTATTGGGAGCGCTGTCTAGCATTGAAAGAATTCCAAATGAAATGCTATTAATTATTTGCAATGTTGGTTTGATCATATGAGTCCAAATAGTGTCCACAGTATGGAATCTGGATGCTCAAATGTTTGACGCGTCTAAGTTTTAAGTCAAGCAAAGTTTATATGGAAGGATCTTTAAAATTTAAATCAAACTAAAAATCCCGATGTTTTTTTGCTACATCACTGTCGTGTTGCGGTAATAAATAATTCATGAGAAGAGGACCATCATGCGAGATATTCAGCGTTTTATAGACAACCTCCCTGCTTTAGAGCTATATTTTCAGTTTTTTTTCTGGACTGATAACTGTTGCCTCGCCCGCTCGCAACGATCGCGGATAAAATTGGTCCTCGAACTACTGGTCTGTCAACCGAGTGGCTGATATCCATGACACTTTGCCATGGTATAAGTTAAACTTTAATCATATTTCTAATTTGAAAAAAACTTGAAAGTCTATCTGTATTGCAACCGGGGACTAAACTTTTTCCCGTGCCTAAATGCCCACTATTATCCGCGATCGTTGCTTGCGAGCAACGCAACACTTCTCAGTCCAGAAAAAAAATCAGAAAAATAGCTTTAAAGCAGGGGTGCAACAGAGGCTCGGAATACTTCGGAAGCCCAACAGTTTTCATTGTTTTTTTTACCTCTTGGATATTAGCGATATTAGTTTTTGATTTTGGTTCTAGATTTATCAACTCGCCAATTTTTTGCCTTTTTCAATTCATTTTCTCTTCATTCGTTTTTTTGGCCTAAAATGTTTCCGCGTAGGTTTTTATCGGCTGCTGTTGCGTCGTGTGGAGGGCAAAATGTTTTTCTCTTTCTAAAGTGCATTTTTGTTTTGATAGCTCAACTCTCCATAACACGTTTTTTTTTCGGCGTAACGACCTAAATATTGGCTTAGCTGCCGCTTTTCAAGTTTTTCTCATTCTAATTAAAAGTCAAAGAACGCAGTGAAGACACTTACACCGGGCGTGATAATTTTTCCTAAGATTTAATTGTTTAGTCGTTTTACTTCTGAAGATCAGTTTATATTCCTCTTATGAAAAGAAAGCAAGTTCCACTATCAAAAAGAAGCAAAAAAGTAAAAGTCAAGAAAACGTGATTATCTTTCAATTTTTATAATGGGCTGTTCATTTTTAGATTTCCCAGAAGATCAAAAAGAATACTTAATGATCTATTGTTCTCAACTAGGTCATTTGCAAGAATAAGTGGCCATCATAAATTGTTTTTAGAAATCACAAGGGCATAAAAATTTCTGGGAAATTTGAAATTTGCAGTTTTTTTTCAAAAAAAAACAGGTCAGTTTTATAAGTTTCCTAGCGCTTATTGACACGACACTTATAACGTTCTGTTGGTATTGTGTTTACGCTTCCTTGCCTGTTTTTTTTCTTGCCTTATTTTTCTTGCTTTGTTTTTTTTTCAAACTGGATTTCTTTTGAGGTGAATTGTGGTACTAAATTATTCCTTTGACGATTCTTTTTTTCTCATTTTTGTTACATTGCATTGCTGTTTGCTATGTTTCGAAATCTGTGAGAAAATCTGTCCTTCTTCGGTTTTAGTTTTCTTTTTAAACAAGACTCCTCGTATCAGGGCGAAGCCCTGAATGCTCTCTCTGATTGCCTTTTAAGGTCGGTCGATAGAGCTTTGTAAAACTCAAATTGTTTGAAACTGTATTTTAAAAAGCATCCTCATACGCTATGTAAAGTACAAATTGATATGTTTCGCAATTAGCAAAACAAATAATTAAACAGAAAAAAATAGCATGTCTAAATCAATTTGGAACAAATTCTCTGAGACGGATTAAATCGCCGCCTAATTGTTATTAGCACGAAAAAAATCGCACGTTATCTGTCCAAAATTGGCCAATTTGAAACCCTCAAAGCCTAACAAAAAGTTATCAAAAGTGAAACAATTTCCAAGAAAAAAATTTGAGAGCAACAATCCTAGTCATAAAAAGTTTCATCAATAATTGCTAGCTGAAAAGTTGATTTTATCATGAGAAAAAAAAGACCCAGAGCACAAATATTCCTTTACTTTCTTCGAAAGTCGGAATAGTAGTTGATATATTTACTATCAATTACGTTTTAATCACCAATAGGATATCTGATTTTACTGCATCGGATATTCGTCTCCATAGTAATCGAGTGTTAACAGAGGTTTGAGCTGAGAAGATAGTGAACATTTGTAATATATATGATGAAACGTTTTGAAATTCGCTTAGTTTTAAAAATATTAATCAAAAAGAGCTCTAAAACTTTAAAGAGCTTAAAGATTTGAGAGAACCATTCTTTTTTCAACTCCAGTTTTTTTTCAGTTTGCAGGCAATCTCTTATGTATTCGCTTAATCATGCTTCGGCTGTTCCATATGACACTGAGTTTGTGTGTTAGTGTTCCAGTTTCTCAAAAATGCTTAACAGTTTTTCGACGCCGGATCAAGTGACTCTTACAATTCTTAAGTCTGTATTCTTTTCCGCCGAACGAAGAGAAGCCACCCGGGTCGAGGGTCTCACTTTGTTATCCTACTTTCAAGTGCTTGCTCAAAAAAAAGTCCAGACAAGGGTTTGGATCGAGGATAAATTCGAAACATACCTCGAGCACAGTCAAAACATACGTCGAAAAATAAAATAACGATTGTCTCTCGGTAACCTGGAGTCCCACGCTAACTTGGTACTTTTTAAAATCATTTTCGACTCTAATTGCAAACCAGTATTCCAAAAATGAACGAAAAAAATAGCGCAAAAATAAATCATCTCTACAAAGAGTTTAAATTGCACATAATTCGAATGATTCTTTTCTGATAATAAAGCATCATAATATGTTACCCGGAAATTGGAATTTGGATAATCCATGTTGTTAGAAAGTCGAAATATACCTGAGTTTGGTCGAGCACAATCAAAACATATCTGCTTAGGGTCGAGCATGGTCGGGCACTTTTTTCGGTCGAGCATATTCGAAACATATCTTGCTTGTGTTGAGCTCGGTCGAGCATATTTGCTTCGGTCAATCAGGGTCAAAACATACCGAATTCTGGTCAAGACTTCTAAACATAAACTGAGCACCTCGGTCCGGGCAAGCTCATTAGCCTCTAGCAGAATCAACTTGAACCCACAAATTCAAATTCTTTGTGTTTTTCGTGAAAGAGTTTCCACGGCAAGAACACCTCTGAAATATTTACAATATACTGACTAATTTACGCCTTTAAAACTAGAATTTTCAAGTTGTGTTTCGAGTAGCTTTTTTCAAATAGTTTCAGGTTGCAGGTGCCAACATTTCAACCCTGTTTCTCAAATAGTCGCAGAGAACATGATCAAAACATGAAGAAAAAGTTAGTTCTTTTGCCCGGTGAAACCAAAATGTTGCGACTTCTTTTTCCGTGACTGTTATAGCAAGATAATAGAAGTGAAATGACTTCTTTAAGCCAAAGTGTTTACAATTACTCCAAGATGATAAAAAATTAAATCAAATGAAAAATCGACTAATAATTACTTTGAGCCTTTTATTTAATGGGTTTTCAGGGGTCAGTCAAGTGGGCAGTCTGATCTCTCCTCTTCAGAAAATTAACACTCAAATTGGAGTTACGTCGACAAAAAAAGTTTCAACGAGTTTTATCACAAGTTTTGTTTCTCAAATCGTATATTCGAAATCCAGCATCAGCAGCAAAGTGTCGCGAACCACTTCAATCACTGAGACTACACGTAAGCAGTAAAACCAGAATTGAAATTGATAATTAAGGAGTTTACCGGGCTTTTTCGCATTTTAGCCAGCCCCCATATCGCAAAAAGCGTACTGTGGTAGACAGGGGCAGATTTAGGGGCGGGAGGGTGGGGGTGAGGTAGGGCAGCTTCTTCCCTTCCCCCTTCCCTTTGACCCCCTGCCGACCCAAAGGGTCCCCCATTGTACCATTTTGAGATGTCCATTTTGACTGATTGACTGACCATAAAATTTTTCTAAAGTCGCCTTAGGCGCCAACATATACTAATTTTGAGGGGGAGCACAGGCCGAAAAATTTCCACAGGCATACTAAATTTCCAAAAAAGGCCTAAAAAAGATTTTGTCAAAATACGGTCTTTAGGGTGGTTAGGAAGCGCTCGAGCTCAGAAAATCAATTTGCTCGACCTAACAAAAAATCGAAAATCCCCCCCCCCCCCCCCCCACGAGAAAATCCTAGATCCGCTCCTTGTGGAAGAGCTATAACTTTTTGATGCTCTACTGGAGGGAGGGAGGGGTGTAATGGAAAAGAGCCATTTAATACACTCAATGCGAAGAAATTATCATAACATAATGCCGTTTTTATGTTTCCAGTTTTGAAGACTAAGCATCCATACGCTTTGGTCGAAAAAAAAGAGGGCAAATCAGTTTTTCAAATCAAGTTAAAAACATTGTAACTCTCGAAAAAAACAATGCAAAACAGTGCAAACGTTTTATTGGAGCTTTCATCGGGTTTTACCGGGCTTTTTTGGGACATTGTCAAGCTTTTTTCTAAACCTGCGATGACTTTCTGAGCTCTAGGAAAATTCCACCAAAAATCCCCCTCAAAGTTAATATATATTGGCGTCCATGGCGTCTTTAGAAATATTTTAGGGTCGGTCAGCCAAAAATGGATATCTTAAAATAGTGCCAATGCCAAAGGTCTTTGGGAGCGTCAAATCCCTGAGATAGTGGCTCATGCTCCGTTCT